TATATATATAGAAGTATATATATATAATTATGTATATATATCTCTATGTATCACATATACACATATTCATATAACATACGCAGACGTATATGTTAGTATGAATTTCTATCTACACGCATGTTATTAATCGACTTTCAGTTTGAGACGTTTGAGGAAACCCTTTTTTATTTCATACAGGCGGGATCCGTACAGTTCAGGGAGACATTGATGCGAAGGATGTGGGTTTGACACTAGCACATGAGCATTTGCATATAAACTATCTTCCGGTTTTCAAGAAGCCGAAGGATGAGAGGCATGTGCATTCATCAAATGTGCTCAACTTTGTGTTGATGCACTGATGAATTAACCACACTCTGCCTTTGAACTGGATTTATGTAGAAACAATTCAAATCTACTGACTAGTGAATAACTGCGCTGGAATGCATCTGTATTCGCGTTATGCAGGGAAACATTACCCGCAATATATATTGTGCTCATACTTGATGTATACCTGGCGTGTAAGCCATTCCGCAGCACGTGACAGTACAACTTTCAACCTTCTCGACGAGGTGCGCCGCGATTCCAATGTGCTTTATATGTGTAAGCTGCCCCGTAATCATATTGTACAGGAATGTTTCGAATCCATACTGCTTTGCTGCTGTCTATCACACTCAATTCAGATTTCACTCATGTTGCGATGCTGAAATTACTCTGGGTAATATCGGGTGGATAAGAGGCAATTGGAATTGCAATAAAAGCAATTTGACCTTGACCGATATCGAGAATGACGTTTGTGCTGATGTGACAGATTTCGCCGATAAAGCAAAAGGTACTTCACTAGTTATTTTACATCTACAATTTGAATCAAACGATCGCATCATATGGAGCGATGACGTTCAATCTAGAGATAAGGCGCCATTCAATCCCACCACACCTAGAAGTAGTCGCTACAAAAATATACGTCGCAATCTGAATCGGAACGTTTCTTCTGTAATTGATGCAGACTCGAAAACTCTTGGTCTCTTGCCGTCGCTTGCAAATCTGGTGCCTTGTATTGTCGATGTCACCACCCACGGAATTCGGTAAAGAGTGATACATCCTGCTGTCGTACATACATTACGCTCAGTATCAATTGATTGTTGTTCTTCAAGCGGATTAATTGCCGTGATAGCTTCGATTTAACAGATGCTAGAAAATCGCTCACAGCTGTTCTTTCGCCGTTGAACGTTGATAACTGATAGAGCTATATTCATTCGCTTCGTTTGCTGTGCAGAGGACCGAATTTTATCGAAGCTTTGCAGAAAGTGAGTTTAGAGGCAAAAGTCCATGTCGTTTATGGGACTGGTTACTACATTAACAAAACACACACCGGTATGGTAAATTTTACCGTGAACGCCAAGTAGAATTATTTTTTTTGCGTTAATTTACAACCCACTCTCGCTGTTTCTTCCCCTATGAAGTAACTCAGTTCAAACATCGTCTCAAAAAATCGAACCTTTATTTCTTGCAGATGAAGTGAAAAATATGACAGTCAACGAGCTGTGTCAAGTGATGGTAAGCATGGCGGTAAATACTAGTGTCACAAGCTTCCGATTTCGTCGACTCGTGTGTTCAATTTCCCATCCAATCATTCGCACGGTGAATCGGTCTATCCTACTGGGAAAATTTCCGATAGAGAACTCGCCTTTCAATTTATGACTTCTCAGATTGTGTGTTCGCACTTCAAATCAACACATCATGCATTTGTTTGGATTACTGTAAGTGAAAGGTTCGATTTCCCTTACCCGCTTCGTTCTTACCATCAGTTGTGTCCAAAACTATCGAATCTGCCTCATAGCTTTCCCGTCGTCCATGATCTTCCATGTTCCCAGGTCGTGAACTTAGCGTTCATCTTTTACTCTGTATGCACGTAAATTGTACAGGTAGACGAAATCGAAGTAGGGATTGACGGCGTTCGCGACGTCCATGATCTTCCTTGTTCCCAGGTCGTGAACTTATCGTTCATCTTTTACTTTGTATGCACGTAAATTGTACAGGTAGACGAAATCGAAGTAGGGATTGACGGCGTTCGCGCTGGCATTATTGGAGAACTTGGATGCAGCTTTCCGCAGATGACGGGTAAGTAAACAAGAAATTGATCTGCATGTAGCCAAATACAGCTAAGGAATTCGGTTTGTTGCATAGCAGTGAACAGGCGGCTTTCAACTTGGGGGTGATATTCGATTCGAGATTTAAATGTTTTTATTATTGTTTATACTTCCATGATACACAAGGCTCCGAGCGAAGAGTGCTACAGGCCGCAGCCAAAGCACAAAGGTTGACGGGGGCAGCAATCACAATTCATCCTGGACCCTACCCCGAATCTCCGTTCCAGGCATGTAGAGTCAAATCATCGAAGTTAAGTCCTATTTTGTATTACCGCCGGAAGCATGCTCCGTCATCTTGTCGTAGACCTGTACTTCGGAAAAATATCGTAAGAAATGCAGAGCTGGTCGGTTGCACACACTGAGGACTTAGTTGCCAAGGCACTCATGTACATTCTCTTCTTCTGTACAAAAAGGTGCTGGATGTCCTACGAGAGGCCGGTGCAGATATCAGCAGGGTCGTAATGGGCCACATTGATCGCACATTCTGCAGAGATGCAGCCTTACTGTTGCGCCTCGCCAAAGAAGGTACGTGAAGGGAGAACAACTAGTCGGGTGCATTCAGTAGGGGCAGCTTCGGACAAAAGTTCGGCTTAGCCTATTCTGCTCCGCAATGTGTACTTTGCGGCTTACTGCGCAACTCTTATAGCGTATTCTATATGGTTGATGCTGTTCATTCTCGTACTGCTACTGCGCTGCAGGGTGTATTATTGAATACGATTTCTTTGGCATGTCGGAATCATGGACCCATACTCTGCAATTCAATGTTGAAGTGCCTTCTGAACATGACCGTTTAAGGATGATCAGAACTCTGATCGATGCGGGACACGGTTCACAAGTGGTGATTGCGCACGACATCTATACCAAACACAGACTAAAGGTATATTCGATTTTAAAGTACCCCATATACGCTGATTGAAAACTGCAAAAAAAAATTGTAAGGTTCAACTGTTTCTCGAAAATCATTTCTCTCACCAGCTTCTTACAATTGTTCAAAACCAGAAAGGTTTCACAATCATTGGGACAATACAAAAACTCTAGATGGTTCTCTCAAATTTTAATACAATTTTACGCCCTCCACACAGAAATTTGGCGGACACGGTTTTGCGTTCATCGTAGAAATAATCATACCTTTCTACGTATCGAAGGGATTCACGGAAGGGGAATTAGTGGAAATCTTAGTTCACACTCCACGACGTCTATTGACTTTGGCTGACAAGGAATTGTAGTATTAAACAGCCACAGCGGTGAATTTACATATCTTGGAAGCCAACCTTTCTAAAGCATATGGGAGGTCGATCTCGCATTGAATCGTTAGGTGCACTATTTTGATGTTAGAAGAACTGTCTTTCCCACCAGCCATTTCTCGTATAAAAAATTGCAATTGTATATATTTATTATATAAATACTACTCGCCCTTCCGTCTCGATTTGAGCTCTTCAACCCACGACTTGACCTGGGGAGTGCTAAACACACCTTCCGTACCGTCAAAGAAAGTTTGCAATCCACCGGGACGATTTTCTGCCTTCTCATATTCAAACGCCTGCAGTGAAATTTGAAACCATTTTCTTTTGAATGACCAACGGTGAGCATACGTGTCCTACCTCTCCTCCAATGCACTCAACAATATACCGATATTTTACAAGCCATTACGATCCGAACTGAAATACCTGGCAGATCATCTCAAATTTATCTAGATCTTTGACAAATAGCGCCTCGGGAGTGCTGGCGTCTTCGTATTCTCTCCATAATTCGTACAGCTCTTTGCCAGCCTCAGAGTCTTGCAAGGTTTCCGTCCTATGATTTCAACAAACAGTCAGAGAGATTGATTTCCGCATTGTTAAATTATAAATGGGAACAAAAGGACAATAGCCGCTTTTGTTTTCAAATAATAGTATTTCGACTTGCGGTATAGTACATTTTTTAAAACATCAAACTTACCATATTGACTTCATGGCATCATCTTCCATCCTATTCAAATCACCGAATAAAAATGTGAATTAATTTGAGAATCGGGATTCAAACTTTTTCTCGGTTCAAATTGTCAATATTTTGATGCTCACGCAGAGACACTAATGTGCGAGGTTAATTGGATGAGAAATTCTACGAGTAGACGAGCCCCATCCATATATTTCTGTAAAATTGAAAAACTGCATACTTTTCTTTGGCCTCTTTGCTTACACCGTCGTAAGGTGTTATATCGCCTACAATCGCTTCTGCCAGATCGTGTACCATTGCAATTTTCACGCATCTTGTCTTGTCGAGAGTTTTATCATCGCAGAGAAACGCCAGCAGACCCATTCTACAAATTTTTGAGGATGCAGAAACCATTCGTATAAATGGTAATCGAATCGATGCTCTCAACTGGTTGACATATTTTAATTAACTGCCACGCAATTCATATTAATATAAAGACTCATCACACCTAGTAATATATATATA